AAGCAGAGAACCCAGGGCCACCAAGAAGCAGAACATAGGAAATTAACCACTGAGCCACCGGGCCGGCGCCCTCCTTCTCTTATAAGGTCAACAGTCATATTGGATTAAGGCCCACTCTAAATGCCTAATTTTAAGATAATTGCCTCCTCAATGACTCTATCTCCAAATACAGTTACATTTTGAGATACTGGGGGTGAAGATTTCAACATACATTACTGGTTTATTTACACACATAGGCATATATGTATTTAACCTTTACATTAAATGGCAGGTATTATCTTTCAACTCCATTATCACTCAAGTTGGACAGGCTCCCATAGTTGCAGTCATATGTAAGTTTATATCTGCCTACCTTGAGAAAATAACCATCTAACCGATAACAAAACCACAGCTCACATAAATCCTAATCCACTCTCCATGGGGTCATTGATGTCTGACTCCAGTTTAAAGCACTCTGCCCCATCCTCAGATCTCTGCATTGACAGCAATCTGAACCGTTTGTGGTTCAAGGACCACAGAAAATGTGTTCTAATTCTGGTGTGCATTATCATGTTGTTTGTGAGTGTATATTTCTCCCCTTTATTATTTCACTATTTCTTCCAGAGCATGGGCATTAAACCCATTCTTTATTTCCTCATAGAATAGAGGGACTATGCACTAACATTTATCAAGATTATACTTAAACTCAAGAATGACAAAAGATAAGCACGTTAGAGAATAATATACAACTGGCTGGCAGATTGGGCTCTTCCCACAACTAAGCCCTAGGTGTCTTTATGAGTTTCCCTACATGGCTCATCCTGACTCAGCTTGTGCTGTTTTTTTTCTTGACTCCTACCGCTTTGAGATGCCCTTGAAGATTCCACCTCTCCTCAGGGTCCAGGTTCAAGAACAAAGGTGCAGAAGAGAGTCTTTACTATGCATGTGTTCAGCCCTGTTTCAAATAGAACTTATTTGCATTTGCAACGTTTTCTTCAAAGTTATTATAAGTGGTACTGTTTTTCTCTTCCTTACATTCTTTCTCATCATTGCTATTATTATTATTATATTTACTTTGTAAAAACCCATGTGGTATCAACAGAACAGTCTCCCAGAAAGTAGAGTGCACCCTTAGGATATTTCCTTAAAGTGGGATTATTAAGTTTAAATAACACCTCTGCATTACACTCACAAATTACCTCTTACTACAGAAAATTCTTCGTACAATTTTTCTGCATTTCCTTTCTCATGTTTACAAGGCTCTGCACACTGCTATTCACAGAATATTTACCGTTAAATGTTTCTTGTAAGGATATCATTGACTGTGTTATAATCGCAATTCATCCCCATCGTATCTCCTCATAGCTTCCTTAAATTTCCCCATTGTGCTTATCATTATTTACATAGTATGTATTTTAATTTATATTTACATTATTGTCATCTATTTTCCTTAATCTGGAACCATATCTGGCACATATTGCTACTCAATGAGTATTCCCTAATGAGTGAATATTTTAGGTAGTGTACTGTCAAAAACAGTTAATTTAATTCACCTTAGAGATGTAGATGAAACAGAGAGAGAATTTTTCATTTAGGCATTTGGGTTTTTTAAGAATTTCTGGTTGGTTTTCCCTTTTAAGCTTTTCCTTATCTTTCCATTGTCTATTTTGCTATTTTTTTTCTAAATTTGGGATTTGGATGTGGATTTTGCAGTGACACCATGTCAGTGGCATCCCACACATTTTACTTTCTCACACTTTCATTATCAATATTTAAGACTTTTTCCTTATCTCTCTATGAATTTGGAGTAGTTTAATTATTTTTCTGTGGCTATATGCAATAGTTTGAGAAGTTGTTTTTTTAAAAAAAGTCATTTATTTCAAAACAGGATGTAATTCGTATTATTTTCTGTATTCAGACTTTATTTTTTGCTAACATTGGCATTTTACCCAAATGTTGCACATGCTCTCAAAAAGAAAGAGAATCTTCTTTTGTTACGATCAACATTTAATGCAGACTTATCTATAAAAAACAATCTTATTGCCTATTAGTAATTCTGTTATATGCTCATCAATGTTTGATTGACTAAAAATATATAATAGAGGTGTATTAGGTTTTCCTAATGGTAAAATGTTCCTTTGTCTGTCTTTGCATGTACTATATGAGAAGTTTCCTCATTTAAGATATTTGTCGCTACAATACATTTTGCATAGACAATACTCACTACATCTTCATTGTGAATTACAGTCTATCGTTACAAAGTATCTATTTTTAATTTATTTTGATGCTATTCCCTGCATTCTGTATGTCTTGATATTAACATTAGAACCAATGCTTTCTTTTCATGTGTATTACCTAAATATATCTTTGCCTGAGCTTTTATTTTTACCTTTCTGAAACACTTCATAATATATTTGGATTTTAAAAGCTATACTGAATGTCTTTTCATTTTTAAGGTTATGCAAGTTGCATTTTTAGATATTACTAAATATATATTTAGTCTTTGCTTTGTCATAATGTTCATGTGACAAATATGTGCCATACACACACAGGCACATACAAGCATATATACACAGTCGTATATACACACACAAATACATTTAAAATCACCTTTAGGGGCCAGCCCTGTGGCATAGTGGTTAAGTTTGCATGGTCCACTTTGGTGGTCCTGGGTTTGCAGGTTCTGATCCCAGGCAGGGACCTACACATCGCTCATCAAGCGTTGCTGTGGTGGCATCCTACATAAAAATTAGAGGAAGATTGGCACAGATTGTAGCTCAGTGACAATCTTCCTCAAGCTAGAAGAGGAAGATTGTCAACAGAGGGTAGCTCAGGGCTAATCTTCCTCATCAAAAAAAAAAAAAAAAAAAATCACCTTTATATTATCCCCATTGTCCTTTTTTATTTTTTTTTATTTTATGTATTTTATTCTTTTGTGAGGAAGAGTTGCCCTGAGCTAACCTCTGTTGCCAATCTTCATCTTCTAGCTTGAGGAAGATTGTCACTGAGCTGCCATCTGTGCCAATCTTCCTCTATTTTATGTAGGATGCCACCATAGCATGGCTTGATGAGTGGTGCTAGGTCTGCACTCGGGGTCCAAACCCACAAACACTGGGGGCCAAAGCAGAGCACATGAACTTAACCACTATGCCACTGGGCTGGCCCCATCATTGTCCTTTTTTAGGCACACCTCTTAGGTTCCTACTATGAGAAATATTGACATTAGTAATTAACAGTTAAATGTCGATTTTGCTACCTTTAATCCTATATTCATATTCATCATTTTTTCAGTTTCCTTGATTCCATTTTATCTTGGCACAAAATATTCCTTTTGAAAAATGTCTTGTTGTTTTTTTTTCCTAGTCTTTAAAATTAACAAAGTTTTTTGATCTGGAATCTCTATAGGAAATACTTACTTTAATATATATGATTTAGTATGATCATTCTTTGCTGACATAGAACATAATGTGCTTTTTTAATAGGAAGTTTCAAATCTTCTTTCAATTCAGAAAAAGGAATCTTGATCATAGCTTGTGATGTTTCTGCTGTTTCTTTGGCTTGGTTTTCTTCTTTGAAGGATCAGTTCATGTGCATGTTCCACTTTATTTGTCTATATATTCTTCGTATCTTCTATTTCTCTTGCTGCTGTGTTTTTATGGGATCTATTCACTTTTTATTTGTGTGTTTGTTCCACATGAACTTTTTTTCCTTATCAAATGCAAATGATTCTTAAAGAAATATAAGGCTTAAGATAGAATTTTTGGTATGTTCAAAGAGAGGTGCATTCTATCACTCCAAAATGAGAGCTTGCACTAGCTAGCAGTCATTCCTCACTCTCCCAGCCCCAAATCTAGGAACCACTAACAGACTTTCTGTCTGTATAGATTTTCCTATTCTGGACATTTAATATAATCGTATCATACAATATGTGGTCTTTTGCATCTAATTTACTTAACTTAGAAATATGTTTTTGAGGTTCACCTCTGTTGTAGTAGTATCTATAAGTACTTCATTTCCTTTTATTGACCAACAATATTCCTTTGTGGGGTTCTACCATTTTTCTTCATCCATTCATCAGTTGATGGACATTTGGGTTGTTTTCACTCTTTGGCAGTTATTCATAATGCTTATGAACTTTTTTGTACAAGTGTTTAAGAGAACACATGCTTTCAATAATCTTGGGTAGATACCAAGGAGTGGTCCCAGGCCCAGATGGTTCCACTGGTGTAATCCACGATTTAAAGAAGAATCCTACCAATCTTTCATTTCATAACTTCTTCTGGAAATAGAAGAGGAAATACTTATCAAGTCATTCTGTGACATCAGTATTACCCTGATGCCAAAATCAGACAGACAGAAGTAGAGAAAACAAATGGTAAATGGTCTGTTAATTCTTATGAATACAGATGTAAAAATTCTCAGCAAACGCCAGCAAATCAAATTTATCTATTCATTGTGCTATTTTGTCATAAATATTACTTTTACGTATTATTTAAACTTACAATTCATCAGCATAGTTTTGCTTATTTATTTTTTGAAGGAAATCAAATTAAAAACAATACTGCATATATTTACCATTATTTTTACATTTTTAATGTTTTTAATTTCTTTGTCTAGAACATGTTTCTTTCTGTTGCAGTCCTTCTGCCTGGAACATTGATGAAGCACTGACTTGTTGGCTATAAGTTACTTCAGTTTGTGTGCATGTAAGTGTTCACTTGCTTATCTGTGTGAGTTTACGCATTTTTATTTTCCTTACAAAGCCTTTATTTCCCTATATATTGGAAAGTTATCTCAAATATTTCAGTGAATATGAAATTCTGAATTGACAGTCATTATCTTTCAGTACTTTAAATGTATCTCTTCATGATCTCCCAGTGTGTCTCATTTCTTTCAGTGTCTGCTAAGACATATATGTTATTTCTTCAGTATATGATATAAACTTCTTCCTGAATTCTTTAATACGTTTCTACTTACCTTTTTTGTTCATCAATTATTCTGATGAGTGTAGTGCATTTTCTTTGTTGGTTGGTTTGCTTTTTGCATTTATCCATGATGGTTAATTTTTAAGTCAAATCGGGTGGGCTATAGAATACTCAGGTATTTGGTTAATCATTATTCTGGCTGCTTCTGTGATGATGTTTTTGATGAGATTAAAATTGAAATTGGTAAACTTTGTGTGAAACAGATTGCCCTCTACAGTGTGAATGAGGCTTATTCAATAAATTGAAGATCTCAATAGAACAAAAGAACCAGCCCCCGCTGTGCAAGAGAGAATTTTCCTGAGTATTGCCTTCAGACATCATCTGGAACATCAACTCTTCCTGGTTCCACAGAAGAGCGCTTTGGACTCCAACTGAAACACTGGCTCTCTTGGGTCACTAACCTCCAGGCTCATCCTGTAAATTTTGGATTTACAAGCCTCCATAATTCTGTAAATGCAATTCTTTATAAGTTGTCTCACTCCCTCTTTGTCTCTCTCTCTCTCTCTCTCTATCTATCTATGTATATATACGCACACACTCATCCTACTGGCTCTGTTTCTCTGGAGAACCCTGACTCACGCAAATTTTGTTACTGACAATGGTTCTAGAGAATCAGAATTTTAAACATGAATTTTCTGAATTCATTCTGGAGTTTCTGGAATTGATTATATAAGATGATTAAGCATTAATCTCATTTATAGACCTTGATGACGCTATTTCCAGTAGTAAAGAGATCACTAACAGTCTGTGGTGTGACCTGATGATAGAGATATGCAAAATATTACCATTGGATACTCCTAATAAAATGCTTATAATAAGCAAATATTTTGATGACCGTGTATATGATACTTTCAAACATTTTTATAAAACTAACAAGTATAACAATATTGGCTTCTTGCTCCTAACATCATTGGTTGTGGTTATTCTCCCAGTTCCAGACTGCGTAGTTGGAATAGATATACTTAGCAGTTGGCAGAATCCCCACGTTGGTTCCCTGACCTGTGGAGTGGGGCCTATTATAAGTCTAAACGGAAGCCATTAGAACTTACTTTATGTAGGAAAATGGTAAATCAAAAGCAATACCACATTCCTGGAGAGGTTACACAGTGCCACCTACAAGGATTTAAAAGATGCAGAGCTGATCGTTCTCACCACATTAACATTCAACTCTTCTATTTGCCATGTGCGAAGATGGATGTTGAAGAATGACAGTGGATTATTGTAAACTTAATAAAGTGCTGATTTCAATCGAAGCTGATGTTCCATATGTGGTTTCATTGCTTGAGCAAACTAACACATGCCCTGATATCTGCTATGCAGTTACCGATCTTGATCTCCATACTTGTCCATAAGGCTCACCAGAAGCAGTTTGCTTTCAGCTGGCAAGGCCACCAATACAACTTCACTCTCTCACCTCAAGGGTGTATAAACTCTCCAACTGCCTGTCATAATTTAGTTTGCAGGGATCTTGATCACCTTTCCTTTCCAAAAAAGATTAACACTGGTCCATAACATAGATGACATTATGCTGATTGGACCTAGTGAACAAGTCATTGGTATGATATTTCTCTACCATAGGGTGGAAAATAAATCCAGCTAAATTCCAGGGTCCTTCTACCTCATTGAAATTTCTAGAGGTCCAGTGATGTGGGGTATGTTGAGATACCTCCTCTAAAGTGAAGTTATGATAAGCTTCTGCATCTAGTCTCTCCTACAACAAGAAAGAAGCGCGATACTTAGTATGCCTCTTTGTATTTTGGAGGCAACATATTCCTTATTTAGGTATGTTACTCTGCTCTACTTACCAAATGACCCAAAGCTTCTGGTCTTGATTGGGGCCCAGAACAAGAGAAGACTCTGCAACAGCTCCAGGCCACTGTGTAAGCTGCTCTGTCACTTGGACCATCTGTTCCAGTAGATCCAATGGTTCTACTAAGGCCGACTGGCAGGTAGGGATGCTGTTTGGAGCCTGTGACAGGTCCCTATAGGCGAATGTCTAAGGCCCTGTCATTCTCTGTGGATAAATAGTCGTTTTTTGAGAACAAGCTCTTGACCTGCCACTGGGCCTTAGTAGAATGCTTGGCCATGGGCCAGCAAGTTACCACATGACCTAAGATACCTATTATGTACTAGGTGGTATAAAAATGTTAAAATTTTTGCTTTAAAGATGCATATGTATTTTAAGGAAATTAAAATAGAAACGATATTTAATGTTTATTTTTATATTTACTATTGTTTCATATTATTTATTTCTTTATGAGATATGTACTTTTCTCTGGTATCATGTTACTACAGGATAAGGATTTGTTTGGCAGTTCTAGTAAGTGAAGTTTCGTAGCAATGGATTCTCTTTATATTTTTTTTAAGGGAAAGTTTTGGTGTTTCAATTTCACACTTTTTTTGAACAGCTTTGTTAATGTGTCATTGAAACATAATAAAAGTCTTGTATTTAAAGTTTATAATTTGACACATTTTGCATATGTATACAGCAATGAACCCATTATCACAATCAAGATAAGGAACATATCTATCACACCCAAAAATTTCCTCATAATTCCCTCCTCCACCACATTACACAAGAAAATGAAATTGAATTCCACTGTGACTAGAGAACATATTCTGTATTATTATTATTATTTTAAGTATTGAGATTGGTTTTTTAATGGTACAGTTTTTGGTTTACCTTGGTGAATATTTTCTTTAAAAAGGATGCATATACTGTTTTGGGGAGCTGTAGATAAACAGTTCAGTCATACATTTTTATCCACAATTTCAATATCTGACAGCATGTGTATTTCTCCCCTTTATATTATTAGTAATGGTCTTGTAAATTTTTTTACAGTTACTCAGCCCAGAGACTTTTTTTCAAACCAGAGTGTTCTACTTTGTGGAAGAAATTTTGGGATATGCAAGGAATTAGAAAGTCTATCACACATTGGCATTTCTAAGAAAAACAACTAAAAGGTACATTTCAATATAGAAAGAGATTAACAAATTTTAAAAATTTATGAATAACATAAGGTTTAAAGATATGATAGAATGTGTTGAATAATAGTTTCAAAAACTCTCAAAATAACATATTATAACTCTGTTTAAATTTGATTTCATCCTTATGGTTTGTATATGAGCTGTGGCTTCTTTCTATTTTCCTTGTTATTGTCCAGGAGTCTAGTCTTATCTTTTTGACCTATGGATGGAAAGATTTCCATTGCTAGAAAAGACAAGTCCTAATGCCCAACTGCTATTCATGTTTACCAATGTTCTATTCACCAAAGATAATCACATCACAGAATCAAGGTGGGAAGGAATAACAAAAGGGCATGGATACAAGAAGGAAAGATTTATTGGGGGCCATTACCATATATGTGCAACATGGTCTTCTTAATGACTCCATAAGCGTCTATTATATTTATACAACATATTTACTAAAATATTTCTCAATACAAGTATTCACTTTTAAAGTTTTTTTGCTTAGAACTAGAGTGCTGCAATAAACATTATCTTATGCATTCATTATTTTTAGTAGTCCTTCTTATACATGTATCCTTATGTATTTATGCTTTAATTTCTATAAATAAATCATTTAGTAATGACTCTATAGCATCTAAGGATGTTTTGATTTTTCAATAGAGAATGTTGAGATAATGTCTAGAAAGATCAGCAAAAGAATTAAAAAAGGTATGATTTAAATTATAGAACATACTACCTATCACATCATCTTGTTTAGTTACACATCTTTATTTACTAGTTTACAGTGAAGAGGAAATTGATCTTTAAAAGTAAAACTACTAAATAAATGAACACAGTTATCACAACTATGAGAAAATGAGTCTACTAAAAGTAATTACATCACTAGTTTATTTAAAAATTTACAACAATAATGAAAAGAAATTTCAATTAAATCTGCATGCAAATTAAATATATAAAACAGTAACTTACTAGTTCAAATATCCCACAATGCTGAAAATTTGAGAAGAAATTTTCTCAGTGCCTCTTTGACATCTTTGTTCCGCAGACTGTATATCATAGGATTGAACATTGGGGTCAAAACAGCATAGAAAAGAGAGAGTAGTTTGTCCATTCCTTCATATTGATTGGATTTAGGTTTTAAATAAGTGATAGTGGCTGATCCATAGAATAAAACTACAACTATGAGGTGGGAAGAGCAGGTTGAAAATGCTTTGGTCCATCCTGTACTTGATGGCAATTTCAGGATAGTAGAGATAATTCTAATATAGTACCCAAGTATCAACATAAAAGGAACAGTGACAAATAGTACAGCAAATATGTAGACCATCATCTTATTCACAAAGATGTCTCCACAAGCCAGCTTCAATAATGGGGGTATGTCACAGAAGAAGTGGTTGATTTGATTGGAACCACAAAAGGGCAGAGAGAAAATCTGGCATGTTTGCCCTATCTGAACTGGAAGTCCACTCATCCAGGAGGCAACCACCAGCTGGACACAGACCTTGTGGTTCATGACTAGAGGATAGTGCAGAGGGTTACAAATGGCCACGTATCGGTCATAGGCCATCATGGCCAGAAGGAAACACTCAGTAGCTCCCAGCATGAGGAAGAAGCACATTTGTGTAGCACAGGCAAAAAAAGAAATAACTCCTTTCTGGGTCCAAAGGTCCATGAGCATTTTGGGAATTGTGACAGATACATAACAGATTTCTAGAAAGGAAAAATTGCTGAGGAAAAAATACATAGGGGTCTGAAGAGAGAAATCTATTCTTGTTATTAGAATTATGATACCATTTCCCAACAAGATAATGATATAGATGACTAAGAATATCCCAAAAAGAACCCAGTGGAATTTGGGAATGTCAGAAAAGCCCAAGAGAACAAATTCCATCATTATAGTGCAGTTGATTTCTGTAATTTTCAAATTATTTTCTCTCTGTGGACTTAGATTTTTTGGCTGCATTTTCCTCTTTTACAATTGGATTGGGACGTGAGCTTTGGTCTATATAGTTTCTCAATTGCTTGCTCACGTTTGTATTCTGTGATCCTGGGAGATTTGATGTGAAACCAGGAGCTATAAAGTCACCTGCAGAAAAAGAATTAATTAAATAAATAAAATGCTTAAACTATTTATGGTGTTAGATTTGCATTCTAATTAGACCAATAAGATCCATATAGCTAGAAATTTTTATTTAATTTCACAATGTGAGAAGGGAGAATGTAGATGAACTATTTATTCCAGTCAAAACCCCAAATCAATGATCAATTAACTAACTCTCATGAATTTTTTTCCCAATCAATCTAGACCATAATATAACATCTGGCTTATAAGATCTAACACAATGTTCCACTAACTATTTGCATGCATGTCTTTTCTACCTTAACATTACATCCCATGGTTCATTCTGTAAAGAATATAGCACAAGGTTCTCCCCTAATATGTTACTTCATACATGATTCTGAATTAAGTTAAAAGTGGAAATTATTATTAGAATTGGTTATTTTCTATGAAGTGAGAGAGGGTAATTAAAAATACAATTGTAAAAATACAATATCATGAGGTTCCAGTAATTCTCATTCTAATTTGTTGAATTAAAATGGATTTTATTGCTTAAAAACCACAAATTATGGCATTTTGAATCTAATAATATCTAGGCATTGTAGGAGAGGAAGACAATTCCTGTACACCCTCTAGGTCCTTCTGGCTGGTCTAAGAATTAAATTGACATGAGACAGAAGTACAGGAAAAAATCAAACAAAGCTTTATAACATGTATACACGGCAAAAACCCAGAAAAACTGAGTCACGTACTAGAATGGCCAAGATTGTCATCTTAAATACCATCTTCAGCTAAAGGCAAAGGAGGGTGTTCGGAGTTGAGGGGGCATCAGTTATGGGAGATTACCAGAAGAAGTATAGTAAACAAGAATAAGGTTATTATGCAGATTTACGTCCTTTCCTTCCCCACTGACAAGAGTTTCTAGAGACAAGGTCACCCCTCTCTTCCAGGTACAGATTTCCCTTACAAATGTAAATATCTCTTACAAAGAATGATGTCTACTTGGTTTTCAGGGTTTCTCCCATGTGTGCAGTTTTTTAAAAATATCGAGCCCAAAATAATCCTCATACCAAGGAGATAAACCTTGAGGTGGAAAATTCTGCTCCCCTACAGGCATATTGCTTTATTTTGAGCCAAAATTAAATGTTTCTAGGGAAAAGTAAAATCAATATAAAAAAAGTTTAGCAAATGCAGTCAGATGTGTTCAAATCTTGCCATGTTTATGGTCTGATTTGATTGTGTAACATAATAATAGGATATGAGCAAAAAAATTTGTGCCACATATATCTTTTCCAGGAATTAAAATTTGGATGAAATTAACGTATCGTATTTTCCTAAATAAAGGGAGATTCCCTAATAAAAACAGAGTCCTTCTCATAGAAATACTTTTACTTATAAAACGAACATTTATTTTATTATCAGAGTAGCTAAATGTTCAATTAATTTGAATGCAATATGTCATTATTTGATTATATTTTCTTAATATGTTAGTTCTTAAAGTAAATGACTTTTAACATTATAATTAACAAGAATAGACAAGTTAAGAGTTTATATATTTCAAATGCTTCAAACACATTATCTAATTTTTTAATTCAGAAATTCAGAAATCTACAGGTGCTGTCTTAAATAATGAATGCATTTTCAACCAACTACTCATGATTTTATTTGTTTGATATTATTTATTGAATCTTCATCCTGAAATTAAAAAATCATCTTGAATTGAAATAGAATATCAACATATCAGTAGTTCATATTTACCTTTTTCAGTTTTGCTGAACTTGCTTCTTTCTCATGGACGACGTTTTCATATTGTTAAATAGGAATTTGTTTAGGATCTACACCATTTTTAAACAAGAAGTTAATTTGCTTTTTTAGTTTATTTTTTGTTCAAGGCAGACTGGCCTTGAACTAACATCTGTTGCCAATCTTCCTCTTTTTGATGAGGAAGATTGCCCCTGAGCTAATATCTGTGCCAATCCTCCTCCTCTTTGTATGTGGGATGCTGCCACATCATGGCTTGATGAGCAGTGTACAGGTCTGTCCCAGGGATCCAAACCCACAAACCCCAGGCCAACAAAGTGGAGTGTGGGAATCTAACTACTATGCTGCTGGGCTGGCCTCTAATTTTCTTTTTAAACAGCAAATGCTCTTTACAGAGGAAATATTACTTCTTCCCTGTGGGAATACTTCTTTTCCTTCCTTACATCTAAATTGCTAGTTAAATACTCCTGTTCGCAATTAATTTGTTGTGATTTTCCAAACGATTCTTCCATGGTAGATCAGTTTCCTTCAGTCTCTCTATCGAATACAATTTTGTGTACTCTTGATTTCCAAATACAATCAGAGTGCATGGATGTCCTAGAAGAAGAAACACTCTTAATGATCTGATATTACCTGAAGGAAAATGTTCTAATTCCTTATTTATTTATTTCTTATGTCTTATTTTATTTTCTATAATTCCTCCGAATAGACCTTTGTGGCAAATCATGCATTGTTAACATCATCTGGACATGTTTTATCTATTTTCTCATCTTTAAGGGGCACTGACTTGCTTTGTAGAAGTAGACATTTGTGGGTGTGGGGTAAATTTTATGAAGACAATGGCAATTCTGTCCTATAGAATCTAAGATTACTTTATTTAAATTATGATTTTCTCTAAGACACTATGGGAGCCCCTGAATAGACCTACCTAGCTCACTAATGAACTCTGTAAATAAGGATTAAGAACAGTATTATCTATATTTTTTTGAAAAAATCCCTGTTATTGCAACATTTAATAACTTAATATTTCACAATTTTAACCCTCCTCTATGCACTTTTTGGGGAGAACTGCTTCAAGCATGAACCTAAGATTTCCAGCCCCAAAATACTGCTCGATATTTGATTAAATTTTGTTTCCATATCAACATGCTATTGTTACTGTAACAGATTCATTAACATGCCAGAGACTCTGCTCATCTTCATTCATTCAGAATATTTCTTCCAACTTTTGTCCTCAGCTTTTTTTCTTAGTCAGGAGGTTATAGTCCCTTTTAATTCTTTCATTGAACTTATATTTGGAGATGATAGGTACTTCCAGATCTCTCACCTCCACTGCCTGGGACAAAGCACCCCCCAACTCCACTGCCAGAAAAGTGGAATTAGACACTGATGTGCAGAACAAGAGTTTCATGTTTTCTAACTAAATAATGTGCCCCTGCTGTCTCCACTGGCTTCAGGGCCAGTGCTTATCAGATAGGAGATGCTAATGGAAACCTCATGACTAACTGGTTGCGTAATACAATGAGTTTTGGCCATATGACTCAATCATTTGTTCTTCATAGGAAACGAATACCTAAATGTCCAACTTAGCCATAATGAGAATCTGCGGACTATGAATAGGTGTGACACATGCTCCCAATGGCCAGAGAAGAAAAGACACATTTTCTTTTCTTTTCCTTTTTTTTTTTTTTTTTTTTGCTTTCCATACACAACACTACAGCAGTGGGAGAAATTCTGAGAAAGGACTCCTTGCTGAAACTGGAAAACATTCTCACTACCAACTGAAGCTATCACCATAAATATGTGCTCCTTTTCCCCTTCACCCACCTTCCAACTCCCTTCCCCTCTGGTAACGCCTAATCTGTTCTCTTTCCCCATGTCTTTGCTTATCTTCCATGTATGAGTGAAATCATGCTGTACTTGTCTTTCCCTGCCTGGTTTATTTTATTTAACATAATATCCTCAAGGCCCATCCATGTTGTTGCAAATGGAACAATTTTCCCTTTTTGTGGCTGAGTAGTATTTCATTGTATAAACCTCTTCCTTATCCGTTCATCTGTTGATGGACACTTGGGTTGCTTCCACATCTTGGGTATTGTGAATAATGCTGCAATGAACATAAAGGTGCATAAGTCTCTTTGAATTATTGACTTTAAGTGCTTTGGCTAAACACCCAGTAGTGGGATAGCTAAATCATATGGTATTTCTATTTTTAACTTTTTGAGAATTCTCCACATTGTTTTCCACAGTGGCTGTACCAGTTTGTATTCCCACCAGCAGTGTATGAGGGTTCCCTTTACTCCACATCCTCTCCATCATTTGTTACTTTTTGTCTTGGTGATTATATCCATTCTGACAGGTGTAAGGTGATATCTCATTGTAGTTTTGATTTGCATTTCCCTAATGATTAGTGATGTTGAACATCTTTTCATGTGTCTGTTGGACATCTGTATATCTTCTTTGAAAACATGTCTGTTCAGGTCCTCTGTCCATTTTTTGATTGGGTTGTTTATTTTGGGGTTGTTGAGTTGTATGAGTTCCTTATATATTTTGGAGATTAGCCCCACGTTGGATGTATGATTTGCAAACATTTTTTTCCCAGTTGGTGGCCTGTCTTTTCATTATGTTCATAATTTCTTGTCTTTCAGAAGCTCTTTAGTCTGATGTAGTCCCATTTGTTTATTTTTTCTTTTGTTTCCCATGCCTGAGTAGATATGGTATTCAAAAAGATGCTTCTAAGACTTGTCAGAGTGTACTACCTATATTTTCTTCTAGGAGTTTTATGGTTTCAGGTCTTACATTCAAGTCTTTAATCAATTTTGAGTTGATTTTTGTATATGGTGTAAGATAACAGTCTACTTTCATTCTTTTGCATGTGGCTGTCCAGTTTTCCGAGCACCATTTATTGGAACAGACTTTCCAATCTCTATTGTATATTCTTGGCTCCTTCACTGAAGATTAGCTGTCCATGGGTGTGTGGTTTTATTTCTGGGCTTTCAATTCTGTTTCATTGATATGTGTGTCAGTTTTTGTGCCAGTAGCATGCTGTTTTGATTAGTGTAGCTTTGAAGTATGTTTTGAAAACAGAGATTGTGATGCCTCCTGCTTTGTTCTTTTTTCTCAGGATTGCTTTGGCTATTCAGGGTCTTTGATTGTTCAACATAAATTTTAGGATTCTTTGTTACATTTCTGTGAAGAATGTCTTAGGGATTCTGGTTGGGATTAGACTGAGTCTGTAGATTGCTTGAGGTTATGTGGACATTTTATATAATGTTTATTCTTCCAATCCATGTGCATGGAATACATCTCCATTTCTTTATGTCCTCTTCAATTTCTTTCAATGATGTCTTATAGTTTTCATTGTACAGGTCTTTCACCCCTTGGTTAAATTTATTCCTAGATATTTTATTCTTTTTGTTTTTATTGTAAATGGAGTTTATTCTTGAATTCTCTTTCTTCTGTTTTGTTATCTGAGTATAGAAATGCAACTGATTTTTGTAAGTTGATTTTGTGCCCTGCAACTTTGCTGCAGTTGTTAGTTATTTCTAATAGTTTTCTGATAGATTCTTTGGGGTTTTCTATGTAAAGAATCATGTCATCTGCAAACAGAGTTTCACTTCTTCCTTTCCAAATTGGATACCTTTTATTTCTTTTTCTTGCCTAATTGCTCTAGCCAAAACCACCAGTATATGTTGAATAGGAGTGACAAGAGTGGGCACCCTTGTCTTAGTCTTGTTCTTAGAGGGAGGGTGTTAAGTTTTTTACCAAAATGTATGAGGTTGGATTTGGGTTTGTCATGTGTGGGTTTTATTACACTGAGGTGCTTATCTTCTATACCCATCTTATTGAGAGTTTTTATCATAAGTGAATGCTGTATCTTGTCAAATGCTTTCTCTCCATCTATTGAGATGA